AACCACTGCCCGGTATAGATGATCTGTTAGATGGGGTGTAGGGCTGCAAGTACTTCTCGAAAATAGATTTGAAGTCAGGCTATCATCAGATAGAGGTTCATCTTGATGATCAGCACAAGACGGCGTTCAGGACAAGATATGGGCACTATGAGTTTATAGTGATGCCCTTTGGACTAACCGACGGGCCAGCCACGTTTCAGCGCAGTATGAATGATCTGTTTAGGCCGTGGTTAGATAGATTTGTGGTAGTATACTTAGATGATATTCTAGGTTTTAGTAAGACCCTCCAGGAGCATGAGGGCCATCTGAGGCAAGTCTTGGAGAAGCTGAGAGAAGCTAACTTCAAGATCAACACAAAGAAGTGTGAGTGGGCCAAGACACAGGTTTTATACCTGGGCCACATTCTAGATGGGGATGGCATAAAGCGCGAGGACAGTAAAATAGCAGCAATTAGAGAATGGCCGACGCCCCGCACATTGACAAAGTTCGTGAGGAACTTCTCTACCATCGCTGCACCCCTTCGCCGATCTCGCCATCGCTGCACCCCTACGGCCCCGTTCATAGGCCTAGCCAATTATTATAGAAAGTTGGTGAGGAACTTCTCTACCATCGCTACACCCCTTTGCCGATCGTCAAAGAAAGAAGCAGTCTAGCAATGGTATAGAGATTGTACATCGGCCTTGAAGAAGTTAAAGCAGGACTTGATAGAGTATCCAGTCGTCAAGGTAGCTGAACCATCTTTACCTTTTGTTGTCACCACTGACGCAAGTCAGTACGGTATAGGTGTTGTTTTACAGCAAGATGGCGGCAATGGGTATTGACCAGTAGAGTTCATGTCTGCTAGAATGACTTCAGAAAAAGGTAGCAACGTCTACCTATGAGAGGGAACTCTACGCTCTCAAGCAAGCGTTAGATCACTGGAAGCACTACTTGCTTGGGATGCACTTCAAAGTATATTGAGACCACGAGACATTAAGGTGGTTGAAAACGCAAGCCAAGATGACACCTAAGCTTGCGAGGTGGGCCGTCGAGATAGATCAGTTTGACTTTGAGCTCAAGCCAGTAAAAGGGAAGTATAATGTAGTCGCGGACACTTTAAGAAGGAGGGCTGATTACTTTGGAGCAATAGTGCACTATTTGGATATAGAGTGAGACCTGCAGCAGAAAGTTAAGGAAGCCTATGCACAGGACCCTATTTATAGTGATCTCCTCAAGAGAGTTGAGGAGTCTCCAGAGTTTGAGCCAGACTACCGCACTACAGATGGATTACTATCTGAGAAGACTAACGTAGCTGACTGCTTATCCGTTCCCAACAGTGAAGAGATTCGTAGTTCGATCTTAGGGGAATGCCATGATACAGATGGACACTTTGGTTGGCAAAAGACATTGGCTAACCTAGTTCGCACGTATACGTGGCCTGGCGTGAAGGCCGACTGCATAGAGTATGTACGCAATTGTAAGGTGTGTCAGTGAAATAAGACCACTACGCGAGCCCCTCTTGGTCTTCTCAGACCCTTGCCTATTCCCGACGGACTCGGAGACTTTGTGTCCATTGACTTTATGGATGCTGGGGTCAGGAGTAGGCATGGCAAGAACCAAGTCATGGTTATAGTTGATAGATTTAGCAAGTATGTAGTGTTTGTTCCTTTGCCGTTAGAGGCACGTACAGACTTAGTGATACAAAAGTTTTTTGATTATTGGGTCAGTGAACATGGTCTGCCGCTGTCTATAGTTAGTGACAAGGATACGAGGTTCACTAGTCAGAACTGGCAGGAGTTGATGAGAGTCTATGGCTCTAAGTTGTTGATGTCGTTTGGTCGCCATCCAGAGACTAACGGTCAAATTGAACAGATGAATAAGATCCTGCAACAAGTTCTGAGAATGTATATTAGACCTGATTAGGTCAATGGGGATGAGATGCTCCCAAAGGTAGCCAGCACATACAACAATAGCGCGCACTTAGCTACTTGTCGCACTCCCAATGATTTGCATAAGTCCTTTAGACCAGGTAGGCCGTTTGAGGGACTCAACTGGGATCAGATTCAGAGGCTACGGCCCGGAACTGGGGAGTTCACGATACAACATGAGAAAAAAATTGCTACCGGAGTAGAGAACCTCAGGAAGGCCCAGCATAGAATGATAGAGCAAGCCAATAAGCACCGTCGCCCATCACAGTTCCAAGTAGGCGACTTAGTCTGGGTTAAGTCGAAAGAATTTGCTCCTGAGGAAAACATCTCGAAGGAACTGTTGCCTGCATACCGAGGACCGTGGCCAGTCTTAGAAGTCAAGGGCGGAGAGGATGGACCGTCCTACACAGTTGAGATTCCAGCACACCTCCACACCTACCAGTCTTTCATGCGTCAAAGTTGTTGCCTTGTACCACAAGTCAACAGTTTCCATCACGGAGGCCCATGATCCCTCAGGACATGGATGGAAGGTACGCCATTGATAACATTGTAGGTGAAGATGTGTTTAGAACAGGAGGTAGAGGTCATCCACAGATACAGTACAAGGTTCGATTTGCCTATTAAGAGCCGGAAGACGACCGCTGGTTTACCTGAACAGAGCTTCTAGAGACAGCTCCCGATATAGTCCGAGCCTACGAGAGAGATAAAAAAGGTAAAGGTCCCACCTTGGACTGAAGTATTCTCGGAGGACCTCGAATTTAGGCCGGTGGGAGTGAAACGGTTTTCACCTTAGCAGTAGCAGATGCAGATCCCAGGGCTCGGTCCCAGAGGAAAAGGCACCACACCCGTATACTGTATCGAGTCGACCCCTGTGTGTTTGAACCCGTGACCTGTACTTTGGTAGTTGACTGTTGTCTGTCGTAGGTCTGTGTAGCTGTAGGGGTTCGATCTGTAGGTCTGTCGAGTAGGGGTCATAGTTGTGTAGAGGCCGTAGCTGTAGTAATTCTGAAAGGTCAATGTCGTAGCTGCTACAGTCCCAAAAGGCCAAGTCTACAGACTTCCGGAAGGTCCGGAAGTGGCCTTTCGAGTTTTTCTCACGTTACTCACAGCAGACCAGAGGCAAGTGGGCAAGTGGTGAGTCCAACTTCGCTTAGTCAGCGGTACCCAGTCCCAGTCTCACTTTGTCCTGTCAGCAAGTACCATGTGGGACTGTGTGCACCAAGGGCCCGGTGGAAAGGGGCAGACCAGCGGCCAACAGACATATAAATCAAGAGACAGCGCCCAGCCATTCATTCATTCCTGTGTGAGCCATGCGGAAACGCTGCACAGGCGTCTTGTGCGAGGTGGTCTGCAGAAGCCCGAGGCTGAAGTGAGCTGAAGGGAGATCGATCGTCCATAGCCAGTAGTAGTAGAGCGGCCATAGCCGCTGTAGCATAGAGGTAGAGCTCAGTGTGTGTGTGTGTGTTCGGTACTGAGTTTGTGTGAGTGGGATATCCAGGGAGATCCGGAGTTGAGTGCGTGCAAACAGTTGTGTGAAGACAGTGTCAGACAGAGTATGTGTGAGCGCTCAGGCGCCATAGCCAGTTGGAAGGGAGTTTGTATCCAAACTGTGTTCTCGACTTGAATATCTCTGAGCTCTGTGTGGGGCACTGCGCCGGCGTGGATCGACATCTGTTTGCATGTATGTGAAGTGAACAAGGAAGCGAGTCTGATTGCACCTGGTTTGACAGAGAAATTTTGCCCAAGTTCGCCGGCTGCGGTCAATGGTCACGGCATGCCTAATGACTTGCACCTAGCAATTGCCAAGATGATACCATGCCTGATCAGTTCTCCGGTCAGGCACCGATGGGATCAGGATTATACTCCCATGTCATTGTACTTTGTCATGGTATTAGCAAAGGATAGATGATAGAGTAGATGATCACAGTGGCTCGCAGGGAGACCAGTTAGAGCAGTGAGTTATTCATGGTTGTTGGGAGGTGAGAATGGGGCTTTGCTTCTTTTTTTTCTTTTAATCAGAAGTCCAGCTTGTAAGTAAAAGTAGAGAATGTGCTTTTCATCATCAAGAAACTTCAACACAACTCATGCGCTGATGTGGTCATTGCTTTGTCATTTCTGTTAATGACCTTCTCGCTATATGGGTGCTGGTCAAGAACAATCATTGTGCTTTGTCATTTGAGTTTCTACAGTGCGGTTTCCTTCCACGGTTAGCCATTGTAACTCTTGTACTCATCTGACCCCATCAGGATTCGAGCTTGTGATCTGTTTACTAACAGTCATATGTATATACCATTCAGCCCATGGGATATCTTGAAACAAAATCGATTGATGTGTTCGATTATCAGCTCAAGATCCTAAGAGAGCCTATGGCAGCCGCATTGCAGCAGTTCAAGTGTCTTACAAGTTACGGTGTAGTCCATGTTCTGCCTGTACTTTCCATATTCATACTTTTGACTTATCAAATTCCGTAGTATCATAGTATGTATATACTATGTATTCATTCTTTTGACTTGTCAAAAGGGAAAAAAGTCGGGAGCCGAGGAGGAGAATCAGGTATTGGAATGTGTTGACTGTTGGACAGCATGGAGTGGTTTTATGTGGTATAGGTTGCTAACCTACTGTGCAGTCCAGGTTGGTATTGTCTGGTTTATGTGCTTAATTGAGCATTCATCCTCTTGATGAGGCTGCGTATAGCACCGGCTGAAATGCGTCAGCAAAATGCCGGAGCCCCAATAGGACTTGACTCTTGAATCTTAAGATGTGGTTGGAGAAAGATGAGATATTTTTTTCATCTTAGGATAGTGCATCCCTTTGTCCTGTAGTGTGTGGACTCAGTCAGAATGAGGGAAGCTTGTTTTTCTTTCACGTTAGGTGTTTATGTGATGTGCGGTGTATCCTTTCATCTACACTCTCCTATGCGCTTATGCGAACCGGTACAAGGTGAACTCGCCACCTGTCCAGCAGGATCTGAGCTCATAATCTGTTTATTGACATTTGTATGTGTATATATAGCATGCAGTCCTGAGGCAAAGTGGACTCCATATGTGAGAGGCATGTGCTTATAAGTTCCCTGAAATGGTGGTGTGTGAACAGGCAAAACTCAAAAGCGCAGTTCAGCTTCAGGATCTGCTTGACGCAACCAGGATGCTTGTGCCACGTGTTCGGTATGTGTTTTGTATCGACATATCTACACAACACTCTAAAGCTTATTGGCCACGGGCAGTCCTTGCACAAAAGCCTCGTTTTGTTTCACGTTTGTGTCATGTTTGTGGTCCTTGGATCTTCATCTTAGCGGTCGGTCCTCAAAGTTTCATTTTGTTTCTCGTGGACGTTCGATGTCTTTGCAGAGCTGTAAGGACCTGCCAAACACAGACTGAGACATGCAGCTGATTTCTGAGTTTTGCCAATGGAATGTATGCTTTGCTGAGTTTCCCACTTGATGCTGAGTTTTCTAAGTCTGTGTGTGTGCGTGCTTGCTGGTCTGCATGCCTGTCTGAGTGCTTGTCGACTTGAGTGTGTGTGTGACCCGCAAGGGCGCTTGTTCATTTGGAAGGCCCGAAGGGCCGGTACTTACCTGTGGCCGTGACATTGAGGGTTGCAGTGGGGAAAGCACTCAAGTGGCGGGAAAGAGGGTCACGGCAGTTAGAGCAGCAGAAACACTCAAGTAGCAGGTAGGCCGGTACCACACCAAGTAGAGGTAGATGTGCTGGGTACTCGAGGCCGAGCAGAAGAAGACAAACGTTGGCATTTTTAGAGGCCCAGTAGTTGTAGGCTAGGTCTAGGCGGGTACCCGTCCAACCAGTCTGAGTCTAGGGCCTGTACGGGCAATATCAGAGTCTGCAATGATGTTTCACTCCGAAAGGGAGGAGGGACCGGTTGCTTGGAGGCCGCGCGGCCTAGGAAGTCGCCGCCCAAGAGGCAAGCAGGCCGCTATATCTTCAGGAGGAGCGAAGTGCTCCTCCTCATTCTTCGGTGTGCAAGTTTGGCGACACACTGCTTGGAGCGCTGGCTGGAGCAGCGCTGGTGGGGAGGACAGAGCGGCCAGCTCTCCACCGCAGCACGGGCTGGAAGAGGAGGGAGACGAGGACTAGGAAGAGGGAGAGCGCCAGAGGTCCTTACCTGGCTATGGATGATGCCATCTTCATCATCTTGGTGGGCGCTGCATCTGGAAGGCACCAGTTGGGGTAGAGCTAGACCAAGAAGCTTCGAGGCAGAGTCAGGCATGGCGGCCTGAGCTATAGAGCAGCCACAGCTGCTTTGAGTTGTCCTTTGCACATCGGGGCAAGGCCCTAGCAGTCCGCCATAGCCTCGGCCTTCAGGAAGAGGAAGGAGAAGGTTGGCCGTGGCTATGGTGGACCTCATGTTGTACCTGTAGTAGAAGAGGGATTCAGACATTGATTCTGGTTCAGCCATTCAACATTATTATTATTATTTGTTGTGAATACAGAGGGGAGGAGAAAAGGAGGAGGAGAGTGGTTAGTGAAGAGGAAGGGAATTATCATTGGTCTTTGCTGGTGTACATCTTCTTCTTCTTCTTCTTCTTCTTCTTCTTCTTCTTCTTCTACTTCTTCTTCTTCTTCTTCTTCTTCTTCTTCTTCTTCTTACCTTCTCTCTCCTCTCAAGTTCATTCATTTCTTTTGCAATTGGACGACATTGTAATTTCTCATGAATGTGTACTTTGAAATTGTCCAGGATCATAACTGTGGTATCAGAGCGGATTCTACTTGCAGGCGAGAGACTTTGCTGCCCTAACCGTAACCTAAGTGGTCGAGGGCACCACTTAGGGTTAGGGTTGGTTCGTGAGGAAAGTGGGGCAGCGTGGTTAAGGGAAGCTTCCCCCACCTGGGTTAGGTCGTGTTGGGTCGACACTGGACCTGACCAGGTTGTCTGAGAGTAAGTTTGGGGTGGCGAGACATTTTAAGGAGAGTTCATGTGAGAATTTGAGAGAGGCGACAATGAGAGGCACTCGCACCTGGAATCTGATTCAAGGGAGACACTTGGCGACTTCAGGGCTTCCATCAAGTAGGCTAGCTTGAGGGAAAACAGCCATTTTGCATCTATCGACTGCAAGGTTCTACTTTGTTCTTCAGCATCGGGGGGGAATGAGGCGTTGCACTTGGGTGGTGGAGTCAGACCCTCCTATGAGATAGGACACTAGTGTAAGGTTAGCGTTATAGGGGTGATGAGGATCATATGAGAGGGGGGTGAGTTCTATTTCATCTCGAATCTCAGGCCACTCAGGTAAGTGTCGTGCACCTATGGGATGCCCGTGTGTATGAGTACATGGTATTGTTTGTCCTGATGGGGTGATTATGGGTTTCTTTCCTACTCCTCTGTGGTCTTGGTTGTGTGTTTGAGTGTGTGATGGATGGAGAAATGAAGTATCTTGCTTTGAATGCCGAGTCCTTCTTCAATGCTTTGTCTTTTCATCTTTGAACGTAGGTTCTCTCTGAAAGTCGAAATTCGTTTTTCAGTACGGCAGGGGCAGAAAGTAAGTCCACGTGGGACTCCTCTTGGTTGGGACTCGGTCACGGCCTACGTGGGACCCTTAAAGGACCCAGTGGGACCGGGCCCAAGCAAGAAGGGCCCCTTGGACCCAAATCTGTCGGACATTAGTTCATTCTCTTTTTGACTGGAATTCAGAATTTATTCTTTTGGTTAGGACACCCGCCGGTGAGGGGATCTCGGTTGTAACATTTCACATACTTTTATTGCACCATCTGTGGCTTGACTCGCACCTTGTACACACTCAATTCTCCATTATTGCATGACGTCACTCGTTGTCTGATTTGTTGTACATTCTTGGAACTGGTCAGACTGGACTCGAGGGGATCTCATATTCAGACCGATTAATCTGAGTCGCTGGATCAGACCTCTCATTGTATTTTTTTATTTTTATTTTTTAATTGGATGTTCTCTAGTCCAAGTGTAATGTCGCTCCGGCTAGGAGTTATACCTTCTCTTTCTTTGAGAATTTTGGTTTATTTCTTTCTCTCAGTTCGTTTTCAATGTTCGTGGAGACTCGCAACCTAAGGGAAGAGAGAGAGAAGAGAGAGAAAAAAGGAAGAGCGGGAAAGTGACCGTCTTGAGTGGACAAGGACTGGGAAATGGAGCGTTTGTCCAAGCGAAAGGGGGAGTGTACCTCTTGAGAGTATGATTGATTCCTTTGCTGGTTGGCATTTGTCCAACCCATCTGTCGACAATAACATTCCAAACATGGCCCAGCCACAACTAACCTCAGCGCAGTGGCAGACCCTTGTGAGGCGGAAAAACCGTATATGCGTGTACTCTATGATGGTGCCCTCAGAAGGGAACAATAGGCGGAGGAATTGAAGAAGGAGTTGTTCCTTAAAAGTGAGTTGTCCATCTCAGAAATTGTTCACTCACTGAGCAAAGAACAGTGTGGGGAACAACTACAACCTATCCTCTTCGCTATCATTCAAATCCAGAACCTTGAGGATCATACCACCTCGGAAGTCTTTGGAAAATTACGGAAACTTAAGGAGGATCTGACCGATATGACTGGCAAGTACCGTGACTTGACAGTAGAGGTTGCTGCGCTGCAACAAGCCGAAGTGGCCAATCCTCTTCCTCTACCCCTTGGTTCCGGAGCTGCTATTAAAACTACTCTTGCCCCTTTTACCACATATTTTTTCTTCTTCTTCTTCGTTAAGTGTGATGGCAAGCCTTCGGGACCAGCAGCTGGAGCAGATCCTGTTGTTGCTGCAGCAAACAACAACTCGGGAAATTCTGCAACTACTGCAACCCCAAGATTAGAACCAGCAAGCGCTGGTCCCAACTACGGCGATTCCTATGTGGATCGAAATGTGGTGCAAATACCTTGTACAATGGCGAGGAAGACATTGAATCCCGGATCAGCTCCATGAGAGCTTATTTTGAGGTTTTGGGAACTCGAACAGAGACCCAGTCCACGATCATGGGAATGAATGTCGAGCCCGTCGTACGAGGCTTCTTAGAAGTCCAGTCTACGTGAGCTGGGGTCCCAAAGATAGACTTAACACAGTGGCTTAAAGCCACTCCGGTTGCCACCCTTGAAAAACTCTTAATCAAACAATATATCGATCCACATGTTGCTGCAAGGGCAAGGAGCCAACTTGACATCATCAAACTCAGCAAGTGGTCGAGCTCCATGAAAAGCCTTCAAAGCTACCTTAGCAAGATGTTTGCCACTCCCGAATTGGAAATGATCGAACAATCTTACTTGGATGTAGTGAAAGGTGGGGTTCTCACTACCTTTACAAATCGCTCAGGCACGGACTTCATTGGATACACTGACTAGTTTTCCTTATGAATGGTGGAATTAGCCTCGAGGTAGCAGACCTCGTTTCCACAATAGGCAGCAAAAAGCCCAGAGGCGCGATACGGTTCAGAGGCAGCAACCGTTTTGTTGTGCATGACCTGTTAGAGGCTGATGAGGAGGCCTATGCCGATGACCCCATTCTTGGTGACGACCAAGAGCAAGACGCTGATACAACTTGTTCCTCTTCAGCCCATGAGTCTAACGCTAACCACGATGAGGAAAAAAATATTGTCTTTAAAAAGTCTGCCAACGGAAAGGGACCGGACAAGAATTTGGGGACGAACTATATTCAACTTCCCAAGGGAGCCAAAATCCCTGCGAAACCAGAGGATGCAACCACCAAACCTTGGGTTGACCTCTGGATCACCGAAAATGACTGGAGGGTTAGGTTAAAGAAAGGGGGTTGCCTGCATTGCCTGAAACCGGATCATGAAGTTTGAGATTGTTATAGGCTGTAGGGAAACCAAAATCGGGGGTAGAGTTGACATCAGCACCCTCTACATCAAGGGAGACTGGAACTGATGCAGATCAGCAGTCCTCTCTTGAAGCCCTATCGTCAGCTGATTCCAAGGCTGACGTTTGTCATGATTTGTGTGTTGAGCCTTGGGAGGAGTCTGAGAAGGTTGACTTTCACCATCACCTAAAACATTGGGCTAAGATGAAACATCAGCGTGCTCAAGGGACAATGAAGTTCATCTTCTTCAAACTTTTCATTTACCACCACTATCTCTGTGTCTTGATTGATTGTTGTGCCACAACTAACTTTATGTCACCACACAGGATATGCAAAGTGGGCTTGGGGATGAAGCAAGTGTCTTTGCAGAGCCCTTGCCGTACCCAAGTAGGCAACAAAGAATTGAACTTCTATGTCCTTGACAAGTATCCCTTCGACGAAGTGCTCGGGTTGGGCTGGTTGCAGTCCCAATGTGAACGGACCAAGTGGAAGGAATCATTTTTCATGGTCAAAGATGCTAAGGGGAGCGAGCCCCCCGTTATCTTGGATGAAAAGCGTGAATCCCCCATGACTTTTCTTAATGCCATGCAGTTCTGCAAGAAGTGGCATGAGCACAAGGAGGATAAACAGTTGTATGTTGCCTTTGTTCGCCCTACTCATGTGCCTTCTACTTTTGTAGCCAGTAAGAGTTCTACTTTGCATGATGAGTCTACTTCTACCCTTGCATCCACTTCTAGTCCAAATGATGCTACTCCAGATTCGATTGCCTCCATTACTAATCTGCGACCTGATTTAGGTGATCCTTTTTCTGATCCCCCACCCTCGGAAATCCCAACAAACACCCAAAGCCTACTCAACCGATTTCGAGAAGTTCTGGCCGAACCACGTGGAGTCCCCACATGATCGGTCAAACACACGTTCGAGTTGGTTGAAGGTGTTGTTCCTCCAAAGGGTTGTGTGTATCATATGGGGTCCGGCGAGTTGGAGGAACTCAGAAAGCAAATTGATTAGATGATTGACGAAAGGTGGATCAAGCCAAGCGAATCTGAAGTCAGTGCACCTGTTTTGTTTGTCCCAAAGAAAGGAGGCAAACTCCGAATGTGTATTGATTACCGTAGTATAAACCACATCACAAGAAAAACTGCATATCCATTGTCACATATCGATGATCTGCTTGATGCTGCAGGTGGGTGCAAGATCCTCTCCAAGATCGATCTCGAGTCTGACTACCACCAGATTGAGGTCAATCTTGTGGACCAGCATCAGGATCGCAATCAAGACGCGCGATGGGCTGCGAACAAATTGGTCTGTTTGTGGTTGTCTACCTTGATGATATTGTGATTTTCAGCAAATCGATGGATGAACATCTGAGACACCTTGAGGAAGTGTTGAAAATTGTCAAGAAAACGCAGCTCCATCTCAACTTAGAGAAATCTGAGTTTAGGAGGGATAGCATCATCTATCTAGGGCACCGGTTGTCTGCTGCAGGCCTTGAGTTTGAGGCAACCAAGGTTGAGGTCATATGCGATTGCCTCACCCGACGAACGCCCGTGAACTGCGTTCCTTCCTCGGTCTTGCATCATACTATCGGAAGTTTGTGCCCCGATTCTCTATCACCGCCCGCCCATCGTCTAGACTAACAAGTAAGAATGTATCATATCTATGGGACAAGGCATGTGAGACTGCCTTTCAAGCCTTGAAAAAGGCCTTGGTAAGTCATCTTGTGCTCCGCATTGCAGATCCCAAACTCAGATTTGTAATCACCACGGATGCAAGCCAGTATGGGATTGGCGCAGTGCTGCAACAAGACGATGGTGATGGCTTGTGTCCGCTCGAATACTACATTGAACGCATGCCCAACGAAAATGTAGCTACTTTCACTTACATGCGCGAACTTTATGCTATGGGTGACACACTCAACCATTGGAAGCACTATCTTTTGGGACGCCACTTCATGGTACTCTGAGATCATGTGACCTTGGAGTGGATAGAGGAGCAAACTACCTTGTCCCCTACATTGACCTTCCGGTTCCATGAGATTGACTGTTTCTATGTTGAATTAAAACACAAGAAGGATTGTTATAATCGAGTTGTTGATGCATTGTCTTGCCACCCAGAGTATATGACTTGCTTTGTGAACTCCTACGACCTCCAGAAGAAACTGAAGGAGGAACTCGTAGAGCGAACTGCCAAGGATCCGGACCTCAGTCCAATCCTTGAGCAGTTGAGGGCTGACCCCAACAGTTAGCCTGATTTTCACGAAGGCGAAGGTCTGTTTTCCGACGCTATGGGAACAATGAGCGTTTTTGCGGACCCAACCATGAGCCTCTTCGCATACACTTCCTGGATTTGGCTCACGGTCGGAATGGACACTTCCCATGACCTCCAACACACCACACACAAAAGACACCGAGCCTATTCGTGGAGCTTATGCACAGTTCCCATGCGCCGCCAGAATTATCCCACACATGAACCCAACAACAATCCGGACGACAATCTACATCACCCCCACCCCCACAATGACATACCCCCCGAATAACCTACACCATCACCCGATAACACCATACCCTCACACAACATAGTCTAACGGACCGTGAACGCCGACGACCCATGCACGAAGTTGTTGAAATATCCGGAAATCCATACGGTGAAAGATTGCAGAGCATTCCGAAAACTACCGTCAGCACCTAATTTTGACCCCACAATCACTATCACACGAACTCTACCTCTTCCACCCGCTCTTCATCACCTCGGCACACTCCTTCCCTCCAACTCTACCCCGGATGCGATCACCCCCCGCCCAGAAACCACTTAATGAAACCCCTGGCTCCCTACTGCAATACCCTGCGACCACCTTCATACCCCCTCCGCTTCCCTCCACCACCCCCATTTCAACCTCCTTCCGACTACTACACTCATCTCCCACTCTCTTCCCTCCATCCATTGCAGCCCCATGGGGATGCTCGGAGCTGGATACAATCCAGCTTGATCCCATGCATTCGGCTGCACCTATACCCCCTACCACCACCACTACTTATTCATCCATATCTCTCCCCCCCAATCCCACAGCTTCCATCTCTCTTTCTCAGTCGTTCTAGTTCCTTCCTCTCTCTGCTGTGGTGCCTTTGTGTGGCGTACCAACCACCCTAGCGCACTGCTGGTGAAGACGGTTGCGCTCTGCCCAGGAACGCAGTAGCCGGCGCTTCCTGCGCTTAAGTGGCTAGTGTGTCCCTCTGATCGGCAGCGTGTATCCACCACCTGGTGAATCACCCCTGCGATCGCAAGCGGCAACAGCAAGGTTTGCTACGATGGCGCAGATCAGGGATACCCTCCACGACGCCGACATCATGGAACATACGGTAAGTTAAGCCCCAAGCTCAACTCTGCCATGCTGCCACCCAACCTCCTCCTTCACCCCCCAACTGGGAGCCAGAGGATTACCACCCTCTGATGAGCCGTGACCGGTGCAAGCGGCGATAAGCGCTTTAAGGGATGCACCACCCCTCCTCCACCAGCAATCCTAGTGGTGTTGATGGCATTGTCCATTATGCTCCCTATTTCTCTCTCTCTTGCTCTCTCTCTTCTTCCTCCTACTTCTCTACCCAATCTTAACTTCTCTCTCCCTCGCCTTCCCCATTCATGGATGCTATGCTGCCTGTAGCTGTACATGCAAGGAATGATGGTTGAAAGGCTATGATGTCAAGCTATGTATCCCAGATGCGCACAAGACTAATGGTAAATCTATGGCTAACGGAAATTCCCGTAATTGGGTTGCTGTGGTTGCATGTTGCACTCCTACACTCCTACACACACACACAGAGGGGTGGGGTGGGGGAAGGGATTCGGCAGTACTACGTAGGCTTGGTGTGGGAATATGTCATGAAGGTTGGTGTGGTACTGTGGGCTCGTGCAGTACTGTGTGCGCTTGGTGTGGCACCATGTGGGCCTGGTGTGGTACTATGTGGGCCTTCCTTTTCAGTTATTCTATTTGGCAGCCTCTCTCCCCCTCTCTCTCCCAATGATTTCAGCACCACCCATGCTCCCTCTCGAAGCAGGCGGAACTGGGCTGACTCTTCTTTTCTTCTTTTTATTTCCTTTCTTCAAGGGCAATCTCTTCTATTGCATGCATCTGGGTAGATCTTTGTACGTTCTGCACATACATCTAGTGGACAACTCCTCTACGTGCTTCTTCTGTCACTCCTTATTCTTCAAATTAGAAATACAAGCAACACATGCACGAGTTTCCTAGAGTTGTGGTGAGTAGCTGCTAGCATACTTCCTGTACAAGGAAATGTTGGAGCAATTCTTCGCAAAGATAGGGGCAGAAGAGAACATAAGGGCAAGAATATGGTAGAGATCAAAACACGCCTGTACCAGGGTTGCATACCCGCTGACTGCTGACCGTTTTGCAGCCTACCAGTTGCAGTGACAGGTCGGCAGTCTGCCGACCAGTCTGTATAGAGCCATCAGCTGATATGTTTTCAAATCTGAGTTCGGGGCCACACTGCACTTTCCAAGTACAGCCGTAATCCGCTGAGAAACTTGGGGATTGTGGGGGGAGTGGGGGGTTA